ACGCAGTAAAATCGCCACCGACAGTGTCTTACTCAATTTAAAGCATGTTCTATATTAAATAACTAGAGGGGAACTGTTAGGTGACTCACAATGTTGTTTCAATGATGATTTAAAAAAAATAAACCCTGCTATAGAAGATGCCTGAGAGGATTTGAATGATTAGAGTGTGGAAAAAGCAACTTTTCTAAACCAGTACCATTTTGTATAATTTGTGATATTAAATGTGAATAAGTATTTAAATATATAAATTAGTAAATGGTCTAAATATACTTTTTAATAATTTAGTTTACATCCATAAAATTGTAGATTAGATAATGCCAATGTTAAAAGCTACATAATCAAGTTGGAAAGCAACACTACTTGAGGGTGTGTGTTCATGGAGGAGAGGTGGAAGGATGACTCCAATCCTAGTCCGCACCATCTGTCCTTACCGTCCCTTTTAACAACTACAGGCCAAATAATGTCTCCCAAATTATAAGAATTGCCTAGCGTGCTTATTTAAATACAGATTCCCAGACCTCTGCCCAGAGATTCTGATTCAAAAAGATTGGGGTAGTTAGGAATTTGCATTTTTAAGCATCCAAGATGATTCTTGGGATCAGGTAACATTGTAGATTCTTAGAACACCAAGTGGGTATAGAAGGTAATGAAATCTGATTCTTCTCACATCTTCTGTGGCTCCTCATGTCAACATATTAAGAGGACAAAAACCTTTTCCTTAAGCAGCACTCAGTTCCCTGGGACAAAAGAGACTGAAAAGAGGAGTAACAGTAAAATAAACCTTTAATTAAATCTAATTCTGAGAATATGTATTAAGTTAACAAAGTATGAACATTAAAATAACTAACATTTTGTCCTAGCCGGTTTTGCTCAATGTTGGCCTGCAGACTGAAGAGTTCCGGGTTTGAGTCCAATCAAAGGTACGTACCTTGGTTGCAGGCTCCCAGCGGCATGCCAGAGGCAACTAATCAATGTGTTTCTCTCATATCGGTGTTTCTCTCTGTCTCTCCCTTTCCCTTCCACTCTTTCTAAAAAGCAATAAAAAATAAAAAAATAAAAAATAAAAATCCTTGCCCTAACTGATTTGGCTCAGTTGATAGAGCATTGGCCTGCGGACTGAAGGATCCCAGGTTTGATTCCAGTCAAGGGCATGTACCTTGGTTGTGGGCACATCCCCAGTAGGGAGTGTTCAGGAGGCAGCTAATTAATGTTTCTCTCTCATTGATGTTTCTAACTCTCTATGCCTCTCCCTTCCTCTCTGTAAAAAAAAAAAATCAATAAAATATATATATTTTAAAAATATTAAGTGAGGATTAAAATAACTAACACTTAAAGCTCACACTTTCTAGCTAAGGCTGTGGCAAAGGTGTAACTTGTGAGCTTGAGTTGGAATACCATAAGTTTTGAAAATGAAATTGGCACAATGTGCTATCTGTGTGTGTATCCACACTTTTAACATAATTTACCTCTCTCTTTAATTATAAGTGAAGGCGCTACAGTAAACATTTTCACTTCCTCAATTTACTTCTTATAGTGTAGTCTTATTGTAAATTACAATATTAAATATAGCTATTGATCTGCTACTGGTTGAAGAACTCAACTTCTCAGATGCTAGTTCTAGCTCTCCATGGTCTTTGCTGGAGAGGGCAAGCTTTATAGAACTGTTGTGAAGACTATAAGGGCCTATATAAAATTAAAGTAGTTCATTTTGTTATTTTTACATATTAAAATCCTTCCATCTCCAGTATCTGTCTTTTAGCTATTTTACTAAGTACAACGTCTGGCATATAACAGCTGTCCTACCAATAACTGTAGAATGAAAGAAAATTATGATTTCCCTCAGAAAATGACCGACAAAGGAACCACAGTTCATGGATCCTCTTGTTTACCACACTGTGTGGGCGTGCTGGTCCAGCTCTGTGAAGGGAAGGGGAAGCAAGGCTGGACAGGGAGGTATGGACTGGGGAGACAGGGTTTTACACACTTTATGAAGGACGCTGGCTGATATCTATAATGGGTAGCAAGGAAGGGTGTAAGCAAGCGCTATGGTCAGAATTGTGGTGGTTTAGAAAGGTCATTCTGCATCTTGTATAGAGAATGGAATGGATGGGTGGGTGAGGCAGAGTGACACTGTTGAGAGGCTATTAAGAATCAAATAAGAGGTGATGCTGGTCTAAACAGGATAGTGGCAGAAGAGATGGAGAGAAGAGATTCGATGGAGGTTTGTAAGGCTGAATTGAAAGAAGTAGGTGATTGAGTGGAGGAGGTGAGCAGGAAGGAAAGTCAAGAAAGAGGAGCGCATTTCTAGCAGAGACTCAGGGGAGGATAGTCACGCATCACAGATTTAGCAAGGAAGAGGCCAGCTCAATTCTGGATGTTAGATCTGAGGGTCCTTTTACAGAAGAGTCCAGCAGAAGCATGTCAGTAGCAATTTTAAATATAGGTCTGAAGGATGAGGATCGAAATGTATCTTTTTGAATTTTAACCCAGGTAAGTATTTTATTTTCTATGTTATTGTTACATGTATTAAAAACTCAAAGCAAAGGTTGAGTACAGCTGAGATCAACAGCTTATTCATTCTTGATTTTTTTAGAAAACCAATGGCTGTAAAATATATTTAAATTTTCTTCTGATATTTAAATACTCTGTTAATATTATTTTGGGCACTAGTTACTAACTGGATTAGGGAGGAAACTAATATGGTATTTGTTGACTTTCTTCTCTGAGTGAAGCACATTGAGAAGACTGGTCCTATTGATTCTCCTGTAAGGAAAGGCATTTTACATATCTCAGCACCTCAGCCTTCACAAACCCAAACTATAAATCCTACACATCAAATCCCCCTTTTCATATTTGTGAAAGGAAGGCATTTATGGGGACATTTGATAAGGCTGCTTAGAGGAATAGCTCAGAGAGTGGACTCTTGAGTCCGACTCCATATCTGTGTCTTACTAGTAATATTGATATGATCTTGACCAAATTATTTCATCTCTTTGGACTCAGTTACCTCATCTGAAAAATAGGAGTGATAATAGTACCTACCTCTTGGGTTTATGAGAATAAGTTACATAAACACACATAAGAGCAGCATTTGGTATACTGTGTATACTCAATATCTAGTATTATTAAATAATTCTGTTAAGGACAATGTTTTCTTCCTCCTAAACTCAACATCACTACTGATTTAAAAAATAATTACTTAAAAAAATAATTATTTCAGATCAGGTTTCCATCAGAAACAGGATTTCATATATAAGATATAACATCTAATGTTAGTTCTAAGAACTCTTAGGGGATCTGTACAAGTCATTAAAAAGTGGAATCTTACTAAGCAAGTAAGGAGCGGTAAGGTGCACTGTTAGGAAGAGAATTTCCGGAGATCTAGAATCAGAGTCAGAGTAGCAGAATGAACATCTGAAGTTTACTGAAATAATAGATCTATCGCCAAACAGGCAAATTGCCATAAAAAATATAAAGAGATAAGAGGGTTTAAAATAATAAAAACAAAAGTGCAAATCCAATATACACAGAGTGATTTATCCTCATTTCCACAAACAATGCCACTAGAGCAGTAATATACATGTATGGTAAACAACCTCATAAATATGAAAGACCATACTTCCTTTTCACCAAAGAGACCATTCTGCTCCCTGAAAGATTAGTTATGAATATGCTTAAAATAAAATGAGAGCTTAGCATATCATGATTATATGACACAAAGTTTTAAACTGGTGGTTAACATTTGTGAAGGCAATGATGAACAATGGTTACAAATGATTACCACTTAAAGTAAAACTTATTACTATATTTGATTATAAATTACACTCAGTCCATATAAGTTGAATGCATACCATACTTTAATAATCAAGACAGTTGGCTGTTTTTCTGGAGTACATTTCAAACAGCATATAACCCGTATATAACAATATTGCTGTGTTTTTAGTCATATTTAAGGGTCCAAAATATATTATGTTCACAAAATAACACTGTCCATGAATGTCAACAGTTTTTTTAATTTATATTCCTTCAAAAAACATTTTACCCTGGTCATTCACACTAATCTGCATAACTGGAAATAAGCAAAGATGTTAGGTAATTCACAGAGTCTCACCTCCACATAGAAGTTCTAACTGCCCTAAAAACCTATATGTCAAGTTGTCAACCTTTGAAAATGAGCAAAAATGTTCCAGAGCAGTCACTGTAGCCATGTGTTTGGGCTTTGTATTTATAACATTGGATTTGTGACCTAAATGTGGCCATAGACATCACAGTAAGCTAAGTCCCATATCAAAAATAAAATGCAAGTCCTAGCTGGTTTGGCTCAATGGATAGAGCATCAGCCTTCGGAGTGAAGGGCTCCAGGTTTGATTCTGGCCAAGGGCACATGCCTGGGTTGCAGGCTTGATCCCCAGTAGGGGTCATGCAGGAGGCAGCTAGTCAATGATTCTCTCATCATTGATATTTCTATCTCTCTTTCCCTCTCCTTTCCTCTCTGAAATCAATAAAAATGCAAAAGGAATTGAGAAATTTTGTAATTTCAATAGCACAGACTTCAAAAATTGAAGGTTTAGACATAATTCCTACATCTCTCTTTAAATAAGAGGTCATTGCCATGCTTACAGCTTTGAGGCAGTCATCTATATATTAGTGTGTGAATGCACTTAGTACCATGAACTTGGGCCCTTATGCCATAGCATTAATTTTGCCTTTTCCCCAAAGAATCATTTGCTCTTGAAGTAATAGGCTCTTAAGGCACATTTTAACAACAAAATAAATACCATAGCTTGACCGGTGAGGCTCAGTGGTTGAATGTCAACCCACAAATCAAGAGGTCACTGGTTCAATTCCCGGTCAGGGCACATGTCTGGGTTGCTGGCTCGATCCACACAGTAAGGGGCATCCAAGAGGCAGCTGATCGATGATGTTTCTCTTTCAGTGATGTTTCTATTTCTCTATTCCTTTCCCTTTCTCTCTCCCTAAAAATCAATTAAAACATATTAAAAACATCATATATCCAGCTCAAAAATGGAAGCTCCTCTTGGTTACAATAATACACGTATATACCTAAGTAATGTGTGATTTGTCAGATAGGCAAATGTCTCTGTCTTGAGGATAAAGTCACATTAGAAAAGCAATTCTTTGTTGTTTACTCAAAAAGAAACATTATAAAAATGAGAGAATTAGATTTATAAGAATAACCCATCTATAGTATGCCAGGCCTGTTGGCAAAGGTCCAACAGGATATAGGTCTGGAAATTGGAGAAAACACTTCCTCAGAACTCCGGGATACTACTCACCCAGGTTTCTAGAGCAAAATTTATGAGGAAGGGAGTTGGCGCTCCTTCGTGATTTTTAGAAATTTTCTTCCAAAATGCACAGCCTCTTGGGAGGGCTCATACCTGAAACCCAAACAGCTACCATTTTAAGCAGTAGCTACCAGCCTCAAAGGAACAGGACTTGAGGAGAGGAAGGAGAGAGGACAGAAAGAAGTCACAGGTAGAAGTGGGATAATTTCAAGCACAAGTTGCTCTAGGAACTTGGTACATTTTGCTAGGAGCAGCTTTGATATCCCTACGAGCCTCTGCTAAAAGAAAAGAATAGTGTCTTCTAATACCCACAAGCATGCCTTATGCACCAGCCCTTGGGATGGACCTAGAATTATCTACTTGGAATGGTTTGAGGTGTGGGGTAGGGAAGGTTTAGGAACCTCTTAACTTGCTATTAGTCTAAAGTAAACGTAAGTGAGAATTTCACAGAAACAAATACATAGCTAACTGTAATGTCTCCTCTGGCCAGCCCCTTCCTCCTGATCTCCAGGGCTTTTCAGCTGTGCAGGCATACTGCTGGCAAGCTGAGCTCTAGTTCAGCCATAAGATGGGAGCAGGCAGAGTCTATGAGGGATACTGTGAGTAATGTTCACAAATTACAGAGGTGACCAATGTGCCCAACAGGAGTCCACTCTATGGCAGAGATCCAAGACATTCTCTGTGATCATGGAGCAATAAAAATAGCTGGTCCTAAATAAACATTTCAAATGTTGCACAATAACAGGCCCATCTCGCAGGGGCCAAACATACGGAGTTGTATTATTTATTTTTATATTTGCAGTTGTCAATCACCTACATTTGGGAAACCACGTGTCCTCTGATGTCACTCTAGCCTGGGTGGCAGGTACAAAAAGGCTCCAGAGTCCCAGCAAATTCAATGACATTCCTTTTTTGTCCCCAGTGATCGGCACCATTTTGGAAATCTGGTCCCAAAGGTACTAAAGAACAGTAATACAGCAAAAAACAAAAACAAAAACCCACCTCTCTGTATAAAATGATTATAGAGATGTGTGTTGAGGTAAAGAGCTTTGTAAAAACTGTTGAGTCAGGAAGCACTGCCACAGCTATAGAAAGTTTTAGGTAAGTTTGGTGCTAATGTTATTCATCAAAATTCCTGTTTACATTAGTTATAAAGAAGGGACAGTTCTTATTGCTCCTATAGCTTGCTGCCCCAATCTGTACCATCTCCACTGAAAAATGATTTTTTTTTCCCTTCAACAACTGGTAGCAAATATTCCCAAGTTTATAAAAAGTCATCGCTAATGCATTACTTTCTTGTTAATTTCTGATTGCCATAGCTAAAGAGCTACAGTATGCATGTCCTTCACACCAAGTACAGAAAAAGCTTAGAAAAGTTGTTTTATCAAAGTTTAGTTCAATGAAAAAGTGCAAAATATATACAGTTCCTGGCAGTTCTCACACAGGATTTTTCTGACGACAGACCATAAAAGTGTACATTTATGTCATGAAATTACAGTGGATTTAACTTCATTATTAGTATACAAGTTTTTGCTTCAAAGTGCTTGCTTTATTTAAAAAAGAAAAGATCAAAAGCGTCAGGGGATTTTTTTTTTTTTTTACAACAAATTTATGTTACGTGTCCCAATCTCCTTCTTCCTCCTTCTTTCGTGCAACACAGTGCAGCAGCCTCAATGAAAGGTTTGATTTCAAAAGATGTTCCTGAAACCTCACTTACAGCAGCACTCGAGGGGTCCCATTGGGGGTGGTTCCTTTTTTCTTCTGCAGTTGATTCTGAACCTTTCTCGATTTCACCACTTTCATTCTCACCTCAAAAACTTCATGGATGGCCTTCCGGAAGCAATGAAAATTATAGTCAATGAGCCCTGGAGAAGAAAACAAAAAATTCTTAGAAATGTCACGTAGAAAGAAATAATATCCATCTTTTCATGTCGATCATGACGAGGATTAACCAGTAGGGGGCAGTAGAGAAGCAGCCTTAACGTAAATTCCAAAGACTGCCGGAGGTAAGTCTGCATCTGATCCTCGGGAATCGCAGGCAAGATCTTGTGAATGTATTTTTTTCACTAAGAAAAGTTTCCAGAGTATATACCTGATTTTTCAAAGGTGTCTATGACCCAAAACATTTGAAGAACCATGTGAACACATTTTTTTGACCTTTCAGAATTAAAGGTTTTTCACAATAAAGTTATATCTTCAATGAAATACTTACTACTTTTCCCTAAAAGACATTATTAAATTGACTCTATGTGGAGGGAGACAATGACTTGGAGTGTGGCTGAGATAACAAAGCCACGGTATCAATCAAGTAATCAATATTTATTGGATGTACATTATATTTAAACTATGGTCATAAATCCTGGGGAAAGCACAATCCCTGGTTTTATTAGTTGAGTGAAAGTAGACACCTCAGGTCAACTCAAGCTCAGGAACTCAACAACCAATGACACACTCAGTTCTTCAATATCATGCAAGTTTAAAATGAATAATGCTTTGAACAATAAAGATTTTTTAATGGGAATTTCAATTGTTGTAGTGTTGGTTTTTGGCTTTGTTGACTGATGAGTTCGCCGACCACTGAACTAGAGGAACCACCACCTCAGCTTCAAGAGCAGGAAACCTTCCGAGCAGCGCCCTCTGCTGCTTCTGCAGTGGCCACGCATCCAGTTTTTTAAAAAAGCAAAAAAACAAACACAGCAACAATGAGGCAATAAGGCAGAAGTAAGAAACAAAGCAGAATAAGGCAGAAATGAGAAACAAAGCGCAAAGAAGTGATGTTACTTAGTGGGAAATTGGAAACGAGTTGTCAGAACAACCTTACAATTCTCTGTCTATCATATGTGCAACTAACTGCCTTAGGAAGAAAGCTTAGCTTGACTGCTTCAATGGGGGGAGTGAATCCAACACTCAACATGGGAGACTGCAGAGACATCCTATGGATAGTTTTGGACAAATCTTAACTTAGCCATCTTTGCACATTTTTAATGCATAAAAAAATTAAAAACAGTAATCTTGCTGCATTTGAAGTTTTAAAAGTAAAATGGTAAAAAAAAAAATCACAGCTGAGTTGTTTTTAGAAAGTAAACACTCAGAAAAAAAGTGTGCTACTTATTTCAACTCTTTCATTGAAAATACAAGAGAGACATGAACAGAATAAGGACTATCTTCACCACCATACACAGTTGTAGGATGGTCTCTCACCCTTCTGTGGTTCAGCTGTTCTCACCCTAGCTGGGCATTAAAAACACCCAAGGAAGTTCAAAAATATTAACCAACCTCAGGCCCCCCGTCCCAGGAATTCTATTCTAACTACCTGGAGGAGGACCCAGACGTCCGTAGTTTTTAAACACCCCCCCATCCCAAGGTGCCTACAATGTGCATCTAGGGCGGAGAGTCCCGCTTCTGCTTCCAGTTCTAGCTCCTCTGCCAAAGCAGTTACAGGGATCATTGATGGAAACTCAGATGAAGACAAACGTGGAGAAAAGCTATCACTAAGTGTTGATTTCAGCACCAACAGGACTCAGCTATACGAAATTCAAGCAACACAATAAATCAAACTACTCCATGCATTTATAAGCCTAAGTTTCTTTTAAAGACAGCTGCATAATAGATAAAACCTCATCTGTTTTGCCCAGTTTCACTGGAGGTCTACTGTCCCACAACAAATAGAGATGGCTGGTCACTCTAAAAAAGCATGTAAGAGTAACATGATGGGGTTACACCCAGTCTGCTTATTTATTTGCATTGTTTAGTTATAGCATGAACTAACACATACGTTTCTATTTAGTGTAGTACGTTTACAAGGTCTGCCTATCCACAGTGATAATCCCACCGAGGTAACTTAGTAAAAGATCGACATGATGAACTCCTGCTTAAATTTACTTCCACAAACATAAATGAAGGTTATATTAATAGGCAAGAGTGTGAGAGGAAACAGGACTTGCATAGTTTGAAAGCTTATATTAATGACAAGGGACAGGTAGGGAATTTCCAGTGGAAAAACTGGCAGACACCATCTTAGCTAAGTCATCACCAGCAACAAGACATACAAACATCATCAACCACTTGGTATGATGCACAGAGAAAGACACACATCATTTCTGTGTGTGTGTTTTAGCTATACATTTATTGATTTCAGAGAGGAAGGGAGAGGGTGAGAGAGAAACATCAATGATGAGAGAGAATCATCAATTGGCTGCCTCCTCCAGCACCCCCACTGGGGGTCAAGAGCCCAAAACCCAGGTATGTGCCCTGACTGAGAATGGAATCGTGACCACTGGTTCATAGGTCAACATTCAACCCTTGGCTAGGCCTGTGTGGTGTTCTTACCAAAGTGCACTGTCTCATTCCAACTGTGTGAAAATCTGAGACAAACCCAATTTGAGGGACATTCTACAAAATAATTGATCAGTATTCTTCAAAAGTGTCAAGACCATGAAAGATGAAGTGCCACAGATAGGAGGAGACCAGGAGAAATAGCAACTAAATCAATTTTGGATCCTGAAACAGAAAACAGGTATTTTTGGAAAAACTGGTGAACTCTGCACAGGGTCTGTAGCATTATACTGATGTCAATTCCCTAGTTTTGAAAACTGTGCTATAGTACGTAAGATGTTAACATTTGGGGAAGCTGGATGGGAAGTATATGTAAACTACGTACAGTTCTTAGAAGTTTTTTGGAAATCCAAAATTGGTTCAAAATTATTTCTGTTAGAAACTGCCATCATTCTAGATGGTTTGGGGGCTGTAGTCGTAGATGAAGGAAGAGAGAAAGGAAAGATGAAAGGGAGGACGGGAGGAAGGAGAGGAGAAATAAAGCACATTTCAGAAGTTTAGTTCGATTCCAGTCAGGGGCATGTACCTTGGTTGCAGGCACATCCCCAGTGAGGGATGTGCAGGAGGCAGCTGATGGATGTTTCTCTCTCATCAATGTTTCTAGCTCTCTGTCCCTCTCCCTTCCTCTCTGTAAGAAATCAATAAAGTATTTAAAAAAAAAAAAGATATCTGGGGGTATTATTAAGTGTATTCATGTCTTCTGTTTTCAGAATCATGGTGCCACCCCTGTGTTTTGAGGACTAAAGACTATACAGAGGCTGAACACAAGCTAAATACCATCTAGCTTCAATGTTATATGAGACCCCTCCTTCACACGGGAGCACAAGTGGTCACATGTCTCTAAAACCTTCTAGAGGTGTGGCCCAAGAGGGAGGCCACCGCCCTCCCTGTAGGCTGGGGGCCTCCCCTGATAAGCAACTTTACAGACTGGCAGCACCCCAGCTAGCTGCACCCGCAGGAAAGCTGAGGCCCCTGGATGGACGGCTGCTTCACTTCCACCTCACAGCAGCTTTCTCTAGAGGGCAGGCTGGTTCATGGATCCCCAAAGCTGGCTGATCACGGGGCCTGTGACTCAATTCTGCAAACTTCAAGAGGCATGCTGCCCCCTATCCACATTCAACAGGCAGTAAAGACAGCAATAGTTTGAATAAATTTACATTTCATGTAAATCACACACACAAAAATTACCTTTTCTTTCAAAGCTTTCCTCTCTGACAAAGCAAACCAGAGCCAGGAACTTTGTCACCTCTTTTAAATAAAGAACTGTGGTATTATTCAGCTTTATAATGGCTGTTGATTCCTTGTCATAGGGGGTTCCTGCTCCGTCTTCTTTGAGACTAAATGGGGGACAGAAACCAAAACATATTTGACCATCGAGAAAGAACTATAAATGCTAACCTGACAACAAAAACCAGCTTTAACACAAAATGATTTACTTCTTTAAACATATTAAAACAACTAGCCTAACCATTCAGACCTTCCGGCTAAAGAAACACACAATCACAGGAATGCTTAGTGTATGACAGTCACCTTCCTACTGACACAAGGAGTGGCTGTGGTGGCAGCTGGGCAAGTCCCCAGACACCTGAGGGACACAGGTGAGGGACGGGTGGGCTTAGTTCTTCTCCCCTCTGTGGCCTCAAGCGTTTCTCATTTTCTCATGAGCAAATAACCAGGCTGTAAGGGCATGGTCTGATGAAAGACCAAGAAGGACTGAAGAACTGTTCCAAATGAAAGAAGCCTAAAGACACATGACAGCCAAATGCTGAATTAGATGCTGAATTGCAGGGGAAAAGGTAGGAGTGGGACCACTGGTAAAATTTGAATATGGACTGTATATTAGATAATCGAGTGAAGTAGCCATGCTAAATATGTTTCTTGGATCATTACACTGTGGTCCTGTAGAGAATGTCCTTGTTCTTGCCCTGACTGGTTTGGCTCAGTGGATAGAGCATTGGCCTACAGACTGAAAGGTCCCAGGTTGTATTCCACCCAAGGGCATGTACCTTGGTTGTGGGCACATCCCCAGTAGGAGGTGTGTAGGAGGCAGCTGATCGATGTTTCTCTCTCATTGATGTTTCTAACTCTCTATTCCTCTCCCTTCCTCTCTGTAAAATAAAAAAAAAAAAAAAAAAAAAGAATGTCCCTATTCTTGAGAGATGCTCAAGTAACGAGGATCAAAGAACCACGATGTCCGCAACTTATTCCCAAATAGTTCAGGGAAAAATCCAAACAACATGGAATGGAAAAAGAGGGAGATGGCAAATAGGGCAAATTGACAAAAATGGTGAATTCCAATGAAGGGTATATAGGAATTTATTGTACTATCCTTGCACATTTTCTGTAGGTTTGAAATCTTTTTAAAATAAAAAGTTAAATAAATAGATCGGTCTAATATTTTTTCATTGAATTTATTGGGGTGACATTTGTTAATAAAATTATATAGATTTCAGGTGTAGCATTCTATAATCTATCATCTGTATACTGTATTGTGTGTTCACCACCCCAAGTCAGGTCACCTTCCATCACCATTTAGTACCTTTTTACCCTCTTCTACCTTCCCTCAACCTTCTTTCCCACTGGTAATCTGTTGTCTGTGTCTATGAGTGGTGTTTTCTGTTCTGTTTTATTTTTATTTTTTAAAATATATTTTTATTGATTTTAGAAAGGAAGGGTGAGGGAGAGAGAGATAGAAACATCAATGATGAGAGAGAATCACTGGCCAGCTGCCTCCTGCAGGCCCCCTACTGGGGATCAAGCCTGCAACCCAGGCATGTGCCCTTGGCTAGAACTGAACCTTTCAGTCTGCAGGAAGACGCTCTATCCATTGAGACAACTCATCCTGGGCCTGTTTCATTTTATTTTGCTTAATCCCTACACCTTTTCATCCGGCCCTGCAACTCCTCTCCTCTGACAGCTGTCAGTCTATTCTCTATCTATGAGTCTGTTTCTGTTTTGTTAAGTTTATTTTGTTCATTAGATTCCACATTGAGTGAAATCATATGGTACTTGTCTTTCTCTGACTGGCTTATTTCACTTGGCCACAAACACAGATGATTTGGGTTTGTATCCCAGCTTGCTTACTTACTATGGGCAAGTTAAGTAAAGCCTTAATTTCCTCATCTGTATACTAACAGTAATTACTTCAAAGTTTCCTAATATAATGAAATAATACATATATAGCACTAAGCATGGTGCTGAGACCATGTAATATGTATAATGAATGTTAACTGCTATGATTATTATGACTTTGTCAGGGAGAAATACAGTTTCCTCTATCCTCAAGGTTCTTCTGACTCGTCTAATAAACATGAGACAGATGAGCAAGAGAAAATAACCAAATGTAATATCTACATAGTATGGGAACCCTGCATACATGAGAGAGTCAGAGACTCCACATGCAGGAAAGGTTCAGAGATAGAAAGGGGAGATCTGAAAATATACGACATCTGAACTAAGGACGAGATAATTGGGGGCTTCAAAGGGTCAGTACAGGATGATAAGAACAGATGTTTAATAAATAAAAGTTTGCCCTGCCATATAGTGGGTTAAGAAGATTATCACTGCCTTAGCCGGTTTGGCTCAGTAGGTAGAGCGGTGGCCTGCGAACTGAAGGGTTCCAGGTTTGATTATGGCCAAGAGCATATGCCTGGGTTGCCCGTTCGACCCCCAGTAGGGGGTGTGCAGGAAGCAGCTGATCAATGAATCTCTCTCATCATTGATGCTTCTATCCCTCTAACCCTCTCCCTTCTTCTCTAAAATCAATAAAAATACATTTAAAAAAAAAAAGAGTTATCACTGATAGTTTTTATTATATGCAAGGCCCCTAATTCAAGTTTTTCTAGGTAGTTATGGGAGCGGCAGAAATTTCTCTTGAACCCGAGGCTAAAGTTGCCTTTAGCTCAAAAAAAAATCTGCATACCACGGAGACACATGTTGGGATGACTAGTTCTGAATCCCCACCGCCTTAATGATTGAAACTGGACCCTCCAAGACACTGATGTAATCAAAGACTTATGTATCCTGTCCTCACAGGCAAAAGAGCACTTCCCTGTACCTATTCCCCTTATGTGAAACCATGCATACATTTCTGATTTATTTTTGCTTCCCAAACTTACAAATACTTGACCAGAAGTCTGATTTAATTGTAATTGTGCTAAATAAATCTTATTAATACACCAGAAGTCTGATGTACAAAATTCGTGCAAGGGGCTTGGCCCTGGCAGCCCCCACAAGCAACTGTGGTGGCTGCCTTCGACCCTCGCAGCCCTGGCTTCATCAGGAAGGTCACCTGGTTAGTTAGCATATTATGCTTTTATGATTATAGATACTGTAGATAAGCATAATAATCCAGCTGCTGCTAATCCTTATCATTTTGGTAGTAAGAGCCAACATTTACTAAACATGTATTTTGTGATGGGCATCGTTCTTGGTTCTTACCATGCATTATATTGTCTGGCACAGGAATCCTTGGTGCTGAGGAACTGAGGTGAAGTTGGGAAAATAAGATAACTCAGTCAAAGCTGATGATGGGGGTATAGCCAGGACTTCAAATTCATCTGACTAATTTTAGAGTTATTACCTTTCATCTTGTAAGTATCACAAGGGGGAGGAGGGTGACAAACCAGATTACATAAAATTGCCTGAATTGTAGGGTATTTTACTTATTTATTTTAAACATATTTTTATTGATTTCAGAGAGAAAGGAAGAGGAAGAGAAATAGAAACTTCTAACTCTGATGAGAGAGAATCATTGATCAGTCACCTCCTGCACATGGGTGCAGAAGGATCGAATCTGCAACCCAAGCATGTGCCCTGACTGGGAATTGAACTGTGGCCTCCTAGACCAGTGGTCAGCAAACTCACTAGTCAACAGAGCCAAATATCAACAGAACGATTGAAATTTCTTTTGAGAGCCAAATTTTTAAAACTTAAACTTCTCCAAACTCCACTTCTTCAAAATAGATTTGCCCAGGACGTGGTATTTTGTGGAAGAGCCACACTCAAGGAGCAAAAGAACCCCATGTGGCTCTCAAGCTGCAGTTTGCAGACCATGATGCTCAACCACTGAGCCATGAAGGCCAGGCTGTAGAGTATTTTAAGTAGAATATTTTAAAGGAAATGTAGATGTTTAGTTTTGATAGTATTTTAAACTGGCACATACATGGTTACTTAAAAGTAAGTTGTAGAAGTTAGTTTTTTATAAAAGGATGCAACTCACTATAACCTACAATAATAGTAAAGAAAAATGTTAAGAAGTGTTAAATCTCAAATATTAAAGATGCTTTAATAGAATTCTTAACTTCTTTTGTACTACTTTTAGTTACTGTTTTTTCTAAACTAAATTTCTTGCTTGTAATGTTCTGAGAATTAACTGAAATATTTAAAAATTGTAACCAATGAAGAAAATTGCATTTAAAATTCCAAAGTGTATAATACTATGCTATATAGACACTAAATAGTGTTTTTGTTATACAAGAACATTCTTAAGTGATAATGTTAAGTGAAAAAAAAGCATGATATAATGGTAAATATACAAAGTGGTCGCATTATCCTAAATATTACACAAAAACAAGAATGAAATATATAAGAATGTGATTGTTTCTAGGTGATAAGATTATGGCTATTTTAATGTTATTCTTCATAGTTTTACATATTTTCATATTACATTCACATTCAGAAAAAGTAAACATTCAGCAAATTGGAAAAACAAAGAAAGACCAAAAATATTACAAGTAATAGAAACTGGTGAGTTTTTACAACTGCAACAACTATTTTCTACTACTCACACCTCCATCTACAAAGCCTTAAAAACACATGAGGATGGCTTTGTGTTTTAGTGTGTGTGTGTTTGTGTGTGTGCATGTGTGTGTATGGTGTATGTGTGTGTGTGCATGCACAGAGCTGACCAGCCTTAGCAGAAGCTCAGCTGAGATTCCTGAGCAGCGGACTGAGGCCTCAGGTCACCTGCTTCTAACCCCTGCTGGTCTCTAGGGAGCAGCTGGGAACTGGCTGGGAGCCTGTTTCCTGGGCTGCCTGCCTCCTGGGCTGCCTGCTTCCTGGGCGGCCCCACACATTGCGAGCCCTCCCCCTCCTAGCTGGCTTCTTGCCTGGCCAGCAAACGTCTGAGGAAAACCACAGGGCCATTTGTGACCAAGACTGGTTCTCACTGAACCTGGTAGGTTCTCAGGAACACTGCACTCGACACGGGAAAACAACGTGACGGCAGGACCCGGCTCCCTCCTCCTCCCAACCCTACCATGTTTGTGTCAGCTGGGTAAAAGTAACTCTGATCAACATCACTTACAAGGACTACTTACCACTTATGTCTTTATTACCTTACAGCACAATCATGATTATGAATATCGTTAAACATGAGCCAGATTAGTTGTGTTGTTCATTGTGTTTGATTACCACAGCAATTTGGACTGTAATCAGGGTCCATTCAGCTTCCACGGCTATTTCAAGGTCATTCACTTTACAGTTTAAAAATAACAGGTTACTGTAGGGAAATAATCTTAGGAAATATGGCCTATTTCTAAAGCCAAATGGCAGTGTTTGATGATGATGATGATGATGATGATGATGATGATGATGATAGCAGTTATATTTATCTGGGTAAATATATCACCAGTTATATTTACCAGGTGAAACCTAATTATTTCTTTCTCACTACAGCCCTATGAAGATTCACTTTCCCGTTTTCATAACAGAAGGCACTGTGTTTGCATGTGTACTAGTATGTGTAACAGAGTTAACAGAGACTCTAAACTGAGTTGGCAAAGGATTTTCAGACAGTGGAAGAGAGAAATGGCGAGACTGAGAATGTCACGGAAGAGGAGGTTATATAAAGCAGGTCACAGTGAGTGAAGAGAAAGATGAACAAAAGCTTCAAGTAATCAATGATTGGATGAAGACATAAATCTAACATAAACAATTTGTTATCTTAATAAGATAAACTAGTTCATACCCATTCACTCTGTATGACACTCATTCAGCAAATTTATAATTATGTGAAATTGTTTCTATGTCTGGTAACACAATCAACTTTCCCCACTCCTTGTTTATTTTATGATTTTAAGTGTAAAAACTATTCCCTAAGAATGTAAGACCTTAATAGTAAATAGGCAATGCTGTTTGCTTAGTTTTAAAATTCCCTGCTGCCCACAATAAAAAATAATCAAAAAGAATATTGTTGAAGGGATCATTTTGTAAGTTACATAAATGTCTAACTACTCTGCTAATCACCTGAAACTCTAATATATCATATCAACTGTAATTGAATAATAGAAATAAAAGTATATTTTAAAAACAACCCAGTAGTTATCTCCTATAATGAAGAAGATAATAGAACTGTTGTTAACATGAGATATTTAGACTTCAATGATCCTATTAGTCTCTCCCAAGTATATAAGACATTATAGTATGATGACAGATTTTCAGTAAAGAAACCCCAGGAATCAGTTAGGCTGAAGTTCAAATTCTAGTTCCAGCCTTTATTGAGCAAAGGTTAGAAACATAACCAGTGTAAACCTCAGTTTTCCCATCCTTAAAGTGGGGGTAGTAATTCCTGCCTCATGGAGTAGTGGAGAATTAAATGATATAATATATGCAATGAGATTATTAGCATAATGCCAGGAATTTACTCAATAATTATTTGTTATTATTATTGCATGCTAGATGGTCTATTTATTTACAGTCATTTAAAACAAAAAGTATTAATATCAAATAAGTAAATGCAAAATGTCTCAAAGTTTCTGAAAGAGAAGTATGGCTTGATTTGTAGCCTGTAAGAATGCCTTACTTACCCATAAATACAGGAGATGTCAATCACCACATCAATCATATCACAGCAGAGCTCATAGGTTTGCATATCTACTGGGGTGCTATCAGTTGCGATATAAATTTTACTGACCACATCAAATAGAAATGCCTTTTCAATTCCAGAATTCTGAAACAAAAAGAAAATGCTGACTTAAAGCAACAGCTGATTTCAAACAAGGTCATGGTTCTATAAAACTATATGACATCCTCTATGTAAAAAATAAACGAGCAAAAATTGTTACTATAATTTTAGGTTGTTCCATGTTATTACAATTTAAACCCCATTGTCACATACTTCTTTATCATGGGCTTGCATAGGAAATGAAAAGTGGAGTTAATTATCACAAATGATTTCCTGTAGGCAAACAAACTTGAGTGGTGGCCAACTAAAAACACTAATTACACTGATTTTAAGTTAAAAAATAAATTTAAGGAATCTAAACAAGCAAATTGCAAACTGTGGTGAGAATTCACGTGAGTACAACCAACAGGTGTGCCTTCATGCTACTACACAGACCTGGACGAGAGCTGGTGGTTTATAGGACTCACCCGGTGTGAACAGTTTATATCTTATCGCCAAACCCATCTTTATACCCTCTACCTCTGGCAAGGCTCTATTAACATTGAATGATTGCCTACAATTTGAATAAACACTCCGATTATATCAGTAAAGCACAGGCATCCATTCGGGGAGTTAAAATTTAAAGGGCCTGAGACAATTTCTGGATCAACCTCCAAAAGCACATACGTTGGTGACCTTGAAATGCTGCGGTAAGAGTAAGCAGAAATAAGACCGTTTTCACTCTTGCAATGTTATTCTTAAGTTCTGCAAATGCTGCTCACAGGATGATATTATTTACTTACAGAGATAAAGATGTTTAGCAAGTTCTCCAGGGTGGGGAGTTGTGGAATTAGTTTCTGAACCACTTTGCTAAAAGCTTCAAATATTGAATGGTCATATATGCTTGTCAGATAAAAGCTGAAAGAGGAAACAATATTTCATCACATTTTCCCCGTGACTGGGGAGTAGACTGCTTAGGCTCTGTCATAACACCAGTACTTGCCTCCTGTGTCTACACTTATTACACACACAATCAGAATTTGAAACAGCCTTGGTAAAAACTGAGCATGTCTTAACGGGCCATTTCCTCCCACCACCCAAAAAACAAGAACTGTGTCCATTCTCTTCTGCCGACTGGTTGGAGTGGAAAGCTCAAAAATGCATTGTAGTGCTCACTTTGGTGGCACCTACCCTGGAATTGGAACGATACTGAGATTAGCATGCCCCTGTGCAAGGATGACACGCAAATTTGTGAAACATTCCATACGTTAAAAAAATGCACCGTCTGTGTCCATACCAGCTTCCTTATATTCTGCAAGAGAATGCACACCAGGTCATCTATACACACACCTCATGGGCTAGTAACAGTGACATTATTTATGTTGAAGTACCTAAGTTTCTCATTTTCCAATTTGTGAAATCAGTGATAGATGGAGCATCCCACCAAAAAAAAAAGAAAAAAGAAAAAAAAAGTGGTTTTCCTCTGTATTTCTACTTGAATTATCTTCATACTTAGATACTATAATATTTATCAAGAACTGTAAACTTCAGCTTCCATTAAACCTCCTGGATTATGATCATGGGTTTTATGGTACGTATGTGTTTCTCAAACAGCGAAGGAACCTTAGCTTTGACCACTTATTTTTTTAAAATTGTTTTTTTTAAACCCCACTGCTTTCCCCAAAGATTAAAGTTAGCGCATGGAAAGTTTGTTTTACCCAAATACCACCCCAATGTCCACAGTACAAAACAGAGTGAACCACTTGTGGTGACTTTGGACTCCAAACCTGCCTTTTCCGTCCATTGCAGTGACCCCTGAGGGATTTCTGTTCTCACCTGAGGTGAATTTTTTCTAATCCAGCATCGGCGAGGTCATCATTTGCCCTCTGATGAATATCTCTTTGGGTTTCAATTTTGTGGTCATCGGACAGGCCGTCCACTTTGTGAATGAACACCTCGAAGTTGATGTCGGTGTTCACTTTGTAGGCCCGGGTCACGGTGAGGTGCAGCCGGGCCAGCGCTTCCATGTAATCGTCCTGGGAACACAGGCACAGTCCTGTCAGGGGAGGCGGCTTTGCTTCCCTCGCACATAACTCCCCGGCTTCACTGAGGGATGCTTGACAAACAAACATTGCATACACTTAACGTGTACAATGGGAGGCCCTGGCCGGGTAGCTCAGTTGGTGAGAGGAGAATGCCCATAAAGCAACCTGGAGGGTTTAGTCTCCAATCAGGACACATACAAGAAGCAACCAATGAGGGCACAAATAAGTGGAACAACGAAAGTTTGGGCTCAGTGGATAGAGCATCAGCCTGTGGACCAAAGGGTGCTGAGTTCAATTCCAGTCAAGGGTACATGCCTAGGTAGCAAGCTCAGTCCCCAGTGGGGGGCATGCAAGAGGAAGCCGATCAATGATTCTCTCTCATCGTTGATGTTTCTATCTCTCTCTCACTCTTCTTCCTCTCTGAAATCAATAAAAATGTTTTTAAAAAGAAAAAAAAGTGCAAGTTTTCTATCTTTAAATAATATACAGGATTCATTTTCATTGTTCTAAATTTTATAAAAATATCAAGTTACATGTATATTATAGTTTGCCTTTTTCACCCAACATTATATCAGTGAAATTCACCTGCATTGCCTCTCTCTCCCGGCCCCTCTCCAAAAATAATAATAATAATAATAATAATAATAATAATAATAAATCAATAAATAAAAATATAAAGTGTGCAATGGGATGTTTTGATAAAAGACACATGTTGTGAAATGCTAACTAATCTTTCCAAAACCTTGCCTCACAGTTAACCATGTTTTTCCTTTCTACATTCTTTCTTTTCTTTTTCTTTTTTAAAATATATTTCTTTATTGATTTCAGAAAGGAAGAGAGAAGGAGAGATAGAAACATCAATGATAAGAGAGAATCATTGATTGGCTTCCTCCTGTACACCTTCTACTGGGGATCAAGCCCGCAACCCAGGCATGTGCCCTTGGCTGGAATCGAACCTAGAACCCTTCAGTCCACAGGCTGACACTCTTATCTACTCAGACAAGCCATCCAGGGCTCCACATTCTTTCATAATTTGAAAACCGTCTGGGTACAACTTCCAAAAATATTTTGCAAAAACCCAATAAAAGCTGGTTTTATAGAATTCAAGATTGAAAATGTAAGTTTTGTTAACGAATAGATAAAAAAGAAAAGGCAAAAAAAACCCAGCTGTAGGCTCTTATGAGTAGCTTGGTGACAGTCAAAAAGATCAGAGCTGCAGTTTTGTGAATTGAAAATTCACAAAGGTCACCTAGGACCTCCCTTAGAATACAATCCCTCCCAGATTTTTTAGTCTCTTGGTCAACTGTGATGAACAGTTAGAGATGAAAATATGATATGGGTCACTGGGGAAGGAGCCAGGAGGAAAAACTTTTAAGAACCACTGGTCTAGAGCAGCCAAGCTGGGCCCATACCTGATGTTTGTGAGTCAGGTTTTACTGGAGCACAGCCACACTCATTTGTTTACATAGCATCTACGGCTGCTTTCATGCTACCATGGCAGTTGAGTAGTTTTCCTCTGTGGGAATGGTACAGCCTGCAAAGCCTGAAATATTTACCATCTGGCCCTTTATAGAATGATTGCTGACCCATAGTCTATAATCATTGCCCCAAATAACACAATACTATTTTCCTCCTTCCTACATATGATACCTATATGATAACATAATAAACACACACACACACACACACACACACACACACACACACACACACATATTTGCTTAAATCAAACATTAGCCCTGGCTGGTGTGGCTTGGTTGTTTTGAGTATCGTTCCCAGCCCCAAAAGATTGCTAGTTCAATTCTTGATCAGGGCACATGCCCAGGGTGTGGGCTCGCTTGCAGGAGGCAGCTAATCAATGTTTCTCTCTCACACGGTGATACTTTCTCTCTCTCTCTCTCTCTCTCTCTCTCTCTCTCTCTCTCTCTCTCTCTCTCTCCTCCTCCTCCTCCTCCTCCTCCTCCTCCTCCTCCTCCTCCCTCTCTTCCTCTTCCTTTTTCTAAAATAAATAAAAATATATTTTTTAAAAAATCAAACATTAGATACTGAAGCCCTGTGTTTCTCCCCTTCCTCCCTTCTACTCCATCACTCTACCCACTACCCTCCAGAGATAGCACTATCCCAAGTTTAGTGTCTATTCTCACTTGTCTCTTGATACACTACTACATACATATCTACCTTTAATAGAATTCATTTTCATTGCTCTATATTTTATAAAATTATCAAGTTAAATGTATATTATAGTTTGCCTTTTTCGCCCAACATTATATCAGTGAGATTCACCTACATTGAAGTGTATAACTTAAAAAGAAAAAAAAGAAAAAAGAAAGAAGAAAAAAAAAGATCCCACAACCATGACACCAGGAATCAAACTGTGACCTTCTGGTTCATAGGCTGACGCTTAACTACTGAGCCATGTTGGCCAAACCGTAACTCCTTCTAATAGCTCTATAAAGTTTCAGTATATGGACAGTAAATAATTTATCATTGCTAATAACTGCTGATGGACATTCAGAATGTTTCCAGACAGTGATAATGTGGACAGTCTCACATGCATCTTTGTGTCTGTTTGTGAGTTTGGGGGCGCTTACCCAGAAGGCCAACCTATTGGGTCACAGGAAGAAGCACCTTGAATTTGACTAAATAATGTGTAAGCGTACTGGATGCTCCAAACACTCAGTATTGTCAGATCTCTTAATTATTGCCAACTTGATAGGTATGAGCAGGTCTTATTGTTACAGCAAAGAAAGGAAAGGGATTTGCAGGACAGAATTCAAAGGACTTTTCACCTCCTATTCTGACTCCAAAACTAGACCAATACAGAAAGCCACTAAAAGAGGGGATGTTCTGGCATTCTTCTATTCCCCAAACTAAATTAATAAAAAACACATCTCTAATCTCTAGCTAAATAAAAATATTAAAGATAATAATAAGAAACCGTGAAGAGAGACAAACAGCAAATGGACTATTCTCATCCTCACACAAGAGTCATTTAAAATGAAAGTTGGAATTTTGGGCACTGGTAGCAGATTAAGCATTTTGGAAAAATTCTAGATGAATAATTGTAGCACTTTTTTAAGACCTTAAAGTATCTCGAATAAAAACTAAAGTTATTACTGTATAATTCCACTTATGTGAAATTCTAGAAAAGGCAAATGAGTCTATAGTGACAGAAAGCACATCAGCAGCCCTGGAGCTGGGGTTGGGGATTGGCTGAGGAAGGACATGAAGGAATCCTTTGGGGTGGTAGAAAGATTCTACATCTTGACTGTGAGCTAGTCACGGGGTATAGACATTTATTAAACTCACTGAACTGTTCATCTAAAACAAGGACGTTTTATTCTATGTACATTCACCTAAAAAAAAAAAGTGTTAGTGCTTATGTCTATAACGTAAGGAAGGGAGGAGTTAAAGGGACAGGCCCGTGAGCACAACTAGCCAATGCCAAGAGAGCATTAGTCTCAAAAAAATTAGAAATTGCTCCTCTAAATCCCTGCCGAGAATATGAAATGTCCTAATTACCAACTAACTGATGTAGTAGTATGTAGCTACAAGAATTACAAATGAAATTAAAAAGAAGAATATATGTGGTTTATTAGAGCAGAGGGGTTGTGGATGATTTTTCCTACTGTGTTTGTTATTATCTTCTATGAAAAAAAAATAAAAACTATAATGCCTGGTTTCAATCCATATTTAAATCTAGGAATTATCGATGTGTGGGTCCCAAGGCACAGGTGGCATGGCCTCAGGGGCCGAAGCAGGGCCTGGGGCTGTGATGCTGCGGGCTCTGCCGGGCGTTTGGAGGGTCACACATGCAGGGCTCTAAACGCTCTCATTCTCTTTTATTTCACAGCATATTCTCCTTGGTGGCATATGTATCTGGCAATCCTCTGACTGTGAGGAATTCACAATCGAAAAGTAAAAAGAGGAGGTGTCCCACCCACAGAGCTCTGCTTAGAAATAAAGAAAATGGTTGCCGAGTGCTGCCGAGATACTTCCCTGATGTGTGCTCCCCTTTCAGTCTTGTAATCACATCCTGCAAAGATTCCCACAAATACAATTTTCACAGCCTGCTTCCAGCAGAAAAGTGTATTAGACTCTGAAGCTCCTTATTTAATTACTTTATATATTTTTAGTAAATGACAGCTCTCAACGTTTGTCCTATCCTTTTTTAAACGTATAACTTCAAAGATGAATTCTGCAAGCATCCATTTACCTTTCTCTGTCTTACAGCTAAAAAATAAATAACAACAATAAAAACCAAAAAAACAAAATAAACAAAAAACACATTTCCCAACCCAAACTGAAGGTCCATTTCCATGTTCAGGTGGAAACCAAACCAAATTATGGTTGCAATTTAAAAACAGGCAAGTGTACCTAGTTTAGCCCCATTATACCATCGTACAAACACCTGAGATGGGTTTGTTTTGGAAATTTACATTCCTGCTAGCGCAACATGGTATGGAAGTACTTACTAAGCCACTGTCTTGAAATGAGGAATCATCTGGTTGGAATGTACTCTCGCGTGGGCTGCCACTCCCTAGTTCACATGTGGCCATGTGACTCAGGGGAAATGGAGTTTAGAAGAGACGGATGAGCGTGACATCCCTGGAGCCTCAACGGACACACTCCGGCCGCTCCTCCCCAGCTCCCAACTCCCTAATTTATGGTGCTGGCAGATCTGAGGCAGGAAGGCAGGGGATACTGCCAAGGCCACAGATGGGCCAGAAAACAGGTCAGTAAAAGTGGGACAGCCAGGAACGCAGCGACTGACACAGGCTCTGGACCCAATGCAACTTCTACCAGCGCACACCTCTGGATGGTCCCAAGGGAGGAGGGGCATTGCTGTCCCTAGACCAGGCATTGGGATATAGAGTCTCCCCTCTACTCCCCTCCACAAAATGAAGAACCCTTTCTAACCATAAGGCCAACCTCCCTCAGCTACAGCAGAAGTACAAAATGCAGTCGCCGGAAACGAAAAGGCTTTCGTTGAGAATTTCATTATTCTACTGAACACCTAGTTCCGTGAACGTGCTCTGGCATGAGCAGTCTTCTCAGAGAATGGTTTTCCAAGCATGGGCTCAGACCCACTATGCCTGAGCCTTCACGGCCCTTCCCCGCCAACCACACTGGTGCTCCTACTGGGTCCACAGTTTCACGAAAATGTCTGGCCCTGTTCAGCTGGTGTGGCTCAATGGTTGAGCATCGACCTATGAACCAGGCGATCATGGTTCAATTCCTGGTCAGGGCACATGTCTGGGTTGTGGGCTCAATCTCCATTGATATCTCTCTCTCTCTCTCTCTCTCTCTCTCTCTCTCTCTCTCTCTCTCTCTCCCTTACTCTCTGAAATCAATAAAAATATATGTTTTTTAATAAGTTGGGACCTGAATTTGAGTTTGGTTTAGTGTGTTCCTGTACGACGTGTTGCCTTTTATTTTCCAGCAACTACAAAAAGGAGCCCTTGGAGGGCCGTGGGGCTGGGCCACACGTCACAGACACTTCTAAACACTTGGACATGGGGAGTTCGAAGGGCCTCAAGATCTCAATCTCGCCGCCCGAACTTTCTTTCTTTTAAAAATATATTTGTATTGATTTCAGAGAGGACGGAAGAGAGAGAGACAGAAACATTAATCATGAGAGAATCATGGGTCAGCTGCCTTCTGCATGCCCCCCGCCCCACCCCACCCCCACCCTTACTGGGAACTGAGCTGCAATCCAAGCATGTGTTCTGACCAAAATCGAATTGTGACCTCCTGGTTCATAGGTCAATGCTCAGCCACTGAGCCACACCAGCCGGGCTGTACTCTTTCTTATATTGACCTGCCTCAGACACACCGACGGTCCCACTGCTTTCCTCTCCCACCTCCCCTTTAACATGGGCTCAGGATATAAAATTCCAGGGTGCCAAACAGACACTTCAAAAGGCTGGTTTGAATAACTGATAAAGTGAGTGACTCTATGCCTGGGAACTAAGTCAAAGAGCTCCCAATTCTTTGCTCTCAGTGAAGTGGAAGAAGACCCAATCAGCATGTTTGCTGGGAAACTACTAAAAATAATTTTTTTTGTGACAGAAAACTGGGCAATTTAGGGGTTATAACTTAGAAGGAGTGTAAATAATTGAGTTAATGCTATACCAAAACTCACCCTATCTCTACACCTACATATTTATGTGAGCAAGGCTTCTCAGTGCTTACATCTATGCAAAAAAAAGAAAACAAAAACAAAACAAAAAAAACACACCAAAAAACAGAATTGATGTCAAATCCTGTCTTATTCAAGCATGGACACATGAATTAAGTGGGGAAATAATTCACCTTCTTAGGAGAGACAATTATATCTCAAATTTTACTTTTTATATTTATGTCACCCATAAAATACACCATACTTACGCTTCTTTATTAATTGTGCACTAACAGTAATTATGATAATTTTAATTCAGAAGAGAACATTGCATACTTGGAACTTTTATTTCACAGGAAACAGATTAACACGTAAAGTTATATACGTGTTTTTGTTGCCCAGAACCTGCCAAGAGCACCAGAGGGGGGACCCATACCTGCCGTCAGTGGCCTGTACAGGGTCCTCTCCATCTGTGGGGTTTCCTGGATCTGTGGTTTACTGAGACGTGCACAACTACACAGCTCCCTAACGCCATCACTCGGTGGTCAGGGTTGCATGAAGGGAGACTTATTTGCAAACCCTGAGAGCCCCAACCGAGAAATGCTTGTTTGATAAAGAGGCCCTTTCTCAGATTCTAAAAACCAAACCCCAAACCGAAAGGATCACAAAGGACATTGTTTAGAGCCAGGAGGACCGCTTCTTACGTGGGGGAGAGGGCCTGAGGAACCACTGTACCCAAGACCAGCGTTACCTGGGAGTCTATGACAAATATCAGGGCTCCTGTTCCCCGGAAGATCATCTCATAGTCAAAGGTAGGGTCAAAAAAGTCAATCTGTCCTGGGAAGTCCCAGATCTGAAAATTCACGAAGGAGCTGTTGGAAACATCCTCCCGGCAGATCTTGTTGGTGCTCTCCAAGAACAGTGTCTCGTTGGGGGACATCTTGTGAAAGACGACTTTCTGAATCGATGACTTGCCGCTTCTCCGCAGGCCCATGAGCAGGATCCGGGGCTTCACCTCGGTGCTGAAGGGATCGCTGAAGTCCAGGACTACAGAAAACCACAAGGCAAAAATGAGGGTGAGCCGCTTTCACAGCGGTTAATTCGACGAGTTTCACTTCCACCTCCGATGTGATTTATGATTCACACACAATTCGACTTTCCCAAATATAGGGAGTGCTAACTACTCATTGAGGGGCCAGCTTTTAGTAAGTGCCAAACACTGAAAAATGCTATTTCACAACCTCTTATACTGTCCCGGGAGGGTGGGGGGGAAGTGAGGGGCGGGGAGAAAACCTGTACAATTCTGCTTCACCAGCAAGAAATCTAGAGGGTGAGGAGTAGAGGTTTCCTGGAGCCGACTGCCCAGGAAGAGGATCTGGTGTTAGCATTCCAAAGCCACGTCCTTCATCGGGGTCTCTATGAACGAAGGAGATGCTTGCTTATTTACCATCAGAGAAAAACTCAGCACAACCACTGTGAGATGCCCCTTCACATCCACGAAGGTGGCTACAATAAGAAAGACAGATAATAACAAGTGTTGGTGAGGATGTGGATGAACTGGCACCCTCATACACAGCTGGTGAGAACGTAAAATGGCGTGCTCTGAAAAAAGGGAAAAAAGTTTGGCAGTTTCTCAAAAGACTGAGTCCCCGTATGGCCCAGCAGTTCCACTTCTAGGAATATATTCAAAGATATAAAGACACATGTCCAAGCAGAAAACTGTACATGAATGTTTACAACAGCATTATTCATAATAGCCAAAAAGTGGAAATAACACAATGGCCATCAACTGATGATTGGGTTAACAGATGTGGTATATAAAAAAGGAACAAAGTACTGATATATGCCACAACATGGATAAACATTGAAAGTGAAAGAAGCCAGATACAAAAGGTCACGTATTGTTTGATTCCATTTATAGGAAACGGCCAGAATAGAAAAATTCAGAAATAAAAGATACATTGTGGTTGCCAGGGGCTACAGGGAAGAGAGATGGGAAGTGACTGTTAAAGGGCATGTGGTTTCTTTGGAGTGATAAACATGTTCTAGAATTAAATAGGAATGATGATTATATACCTTTGTGAATATATCAAAACCACTCATTTGTATACTTTAAAAGGGCAAATATTATAATATGTGAAATATATCTCAATTTTGTAAAAACAGCTTCATGAATGACCAAAATAAATTAAAAAATAAATAATAATGAAGCTCGGAGAAAGGTCAAGAAAGGAAACCAACATTTTAAGTAAAAAGGCAGAATATAGGCAAATATGGAGATCTAAATATATTATTTTTCCAAATTTCTATTTGGTTTCCCTCTGAACTATTCTTCTTATGTCTTTCTCAGTCCCTTACTCGAGTCTAAGCCTACTCAAATAGAGACTGAAAAGTAATTCTTTACTTCCCTTTTCTAACTAACAATTTTTTCCAAAACACACAATTCTTGATAATCTTACTTAATTTCACATGTAATATTTTTATGTTTGAATTTGCAAGAGGTGTGGGTAAACAAAATTTTTTTTGAGTAGAACAATAATGAATAAAGTAAAGAGGCACAGATGTATACAAAAACCACTCTATTATAAGCACCATCTCAGCCCATCCTACCCACATACACATTTCCAGTTCCGCTTAACCCAATCCAACACATTGGTGATGATCTGTGATAGAAGGAGTGACAGGGATGTAAATTACCCAAAGGTCATCAGCTTTCTTCTTTATCGGTGATTATACGCTACTCATTTGCAGTATTGCCTTTATAAGTCAATCTTAGCAAAACCAGGGCATGAATTTAAAAAGAAAACAGGTCCTGGCCTATTTGGTTCAATGATTAGAATGTCAGCCCTCAGACTGAAGGGTCTCAGGTTAAATTCCAAGTCAAGGGCACATACCTGGGTTGCATATTTGATCCCCAGGCCAGTTGGGGTGAATGCAGGAAACAACCAATTGATGTGTCTCTCTTAAAATAGTATTTCTTTCTCTTTCTCTTTCTCTCTCACCCTGTCCCTTTCTTTCTAAATATTGAGTGAGGATTAGCAAAACCAAAAAAGGAAAGAACACGGGATTTCCAGTTTCAAAAGTATCAGACTAATAACATGTCAGTCTTCACCTCTCCATGTTAAATCCCTAAAAATAACAGAGAAGGTATAAACAATTAATAGATGAACAAATAAACACGGACATTTTCAAGCTCAGCTGAGCTTGGAACAAAAAGGAACACTCAAAATTGACAAACTGTTGAAAATTCCCTAAGAAACAGAGAGATCAGACTGAAGAGGGAACCTGCAGCCAGCCCTTGACATGAATGGAAGGGTTCTGCTGCAGAAGCCAGACCTGGTGGAAACCCAACCAGGAAGGGGCAGGAAGACAACCAATGACAAACCAGGGTCATTATTTGGAGAATCAGAGTGAGGAGAGCCAAGCAGATAAACTGTGCACCACTGCCCAGGCCCCAAATGCCATCCTACACATACTCTCTCTAGAACACCTTCCAGGTGGGTGCAGTGAACGCAGGAGCTGGGGTGTGAGAGGGAGGGCAGTGCGAGTGATGCTCTGAAAGAACAGGGAGCAACCACACTCCAAATACGTTAACCTCACCCAACTCCCACCACAGCTCAGGGGGTGGAAGCAGCACCATCTTCCCCTCAGACATTTCCTCTAAAGAGGAGAGCCATATGGTAGCAGAGAGCAGAGGCTCAACCGATGGGAGAATGTACACCTGAAGCTGAGTTCACAATGGAATCAGAGCGAACTTTCAAGGTAAGTATAACGTACACAGAGACGAGAGAAAATATGACATTCATGAAACAAGAACAATTTTCAAATAAGAGCAGTCATGAAAACGGACCTTAGAGATCTTGGAAATAAATATGTACTTCGGGAGGGAAGGGCAATGAATGGATCGAAAAGCAGAAAAAACGCAGATAATGAGGGTAATGTGAAGTAGAAAGTCAAACTCTCTCAGAATGCAGTGAGCACAAAGGGATAGTGCACTGGAAGGTGTGAAATGAAAATTAAAGTGACATCAGAAATAAGACTCAGAAGTCCCACTATGTGCCAAAGAAAATCCAAAAGAAGAAAACACAGAATATATGCGAAAGCAATATTTAATTAAATAATAGATAAGCCTTTCTCAAAGTAAGAAAGGATAAAACTCAAAAGGAACGAAGAGAGAAATGTAAACAGAAATAAGCCCACAAATAATTATCATAATAAAACTTCAAAACGTTAAGAATAGTCACAAAATCCTGCAGACTATCAGAAGAGGAAAACAATTTTACCTACAAAGAAATCAGAAAGACATCAGACTTCTTAACAAACATGGGGAACATGAAGAGAAGGGAATAGAACAAGATCTTTATAGAACTAAAAGGAAAATATCTTTGAACTCAGATTTATATATCCATTGGTAGAGTCCTTGCCCAGAGCCTTGGCCAGCAATCAAATGGCATTCAACAAAGGCTGCAACAACAAAAAAAGGATAGAGGCTAGAAAATATCAAATTACATCATGCGTAGATTTATTTACACATGTGTGGATGCTGATTCACAATATAAGTGTATTTTTTATTGCGGACCACAATTAAAAAAAAAAAAAACACAACAAAACGTTTTGTAGGCCACTGCTTTGATCAGGAGAGGTTTCTTACCTCAGAAAGGATTGCTGACAAAAACCTCCCCTTGTCTTACTCTCCTACCTTTCCTTGAGTATCTCAGCCTCTGAAACCCTATTAAAATTAAAAGTCCCACTATGTGCCCAAGAAGGGTTTCCTAGGTGTTCCTCAGAACGTCTCGGTCCACTCTGGGCGTGGGAAGCAGGGAGATTGATCAGGAAGGTAAACATCCCACCTCCTGGCCTCCTGTGGAGGTCCGGACTCTCTCCACTTACTCAGGTTTAATAGGAACCTAAGAAGGGTGGAAAGTGTGAAGAGAATGAGGGTTGGCTGCTGTGAAAGGGAGAGACAAAAAGGGCCAGTGCTTAAAAAGGCAATGGGAAAGGAGCTACAGGATTTGGGATTAGATGGAACCCCACAGAGGGCTCTTTAAAAGTGTCAGCAGGGCTGGGAGAAAGCGCAGGAGCGAAGTGAAATTTACAAGAGGGCAGTTTGTTTCAGAAAGGTTCCCTGAAAGTCCGCCAAGCATCGGACAGGGCTAAGCCAGGGGCTGTACACACAGGGAAAAGATTCATCCTTCCGTGATTAGAGGGGAAAATAGACAAGAAAAACTGACCATTCGCTACTATCTAAGTGTGTGGGTTCAGAAAGAGGGTGCCTGGAGATATAACATCTGAGAATTAGAGAAGAGGAGGCATTAAAGAAATGAAGAAGGGGAAATAGCACCAGGAAGGGATTTTGGCACTCCTGGAATTTAGGGAATGTAGTTCAAAGGCAAAAAAAAAAAAAAAGGCTCTGTACTATCCACAGCATATAGACTAAAATCCAAATGCATTCTGCCTTCCAAAGGCCCCAGGTGGGCTACCCTCATCCCATCCCTGGTTCCCCTTCCCCACTAGCTCTTGATGCTACGGCCACACTGGCCTTCCAGCTGCAATGTTACCTCCTCTGATGAAATCTAGGCCCCATCACTTCCTAATAACCCTGTGCCTCTTAATAATACTTACCACTAAAAAAAACTACCTTTTTACTTTTTGTCTGTCTTCTTGTTGGTTAACTCTCTGTCCCTCTCATATACACACACAAAATATAATGTAGAGAAGTAACAGACTAGCTCATGAATGGGAAACTGGGAAGTTTGGATTCTGAAAGCCATAAAGAAATCACTAAGGCTTTTAAGAGAAGACTAACATGATCAGATTTACACTTAACTTCACTCTGGAAACAGAATCCTTAGAGGGAGTCAATGTATAGGTAGGCAAGGGGTTTAGAACAAGTCACTGAGGCATGAAAAGTATTTTCAGCTAAAGGCGTTTGAGTTCCTGATCCTTTCCAAAGGAACTCACTTGTCAAAAATCTCCCCAGGAGACTGAGCCAAGAAGAGAAGCCTGCACCACACTCAGACATTGTCCCAACACTACTATCTCCCACC